ATGAAAAAAAAAAAAAAAAAAAAAAAACCTATATAACATGGCTGTCAAATTCATGTAAATTTGATGTAAGGAAAGTCAAAAATCAGATACCACTACAGATCTTTACCTTCTTTTCCTCCCAAATCTCTAAATTAAAGCCATTTAAGATGCCGCCATTGAAAAAAATAGATAAATTTTAAAACATGTATTAGGTCTTTGATTTGACAGGGCCCTTTCAGACTGTCACACTGCAAGCAGCAGAACWGAATAATATATTTTGTCATCTTGTCTCTAGAAGTATACCTTACATCTCAATTTCAGCAGAGAAAGAATGCTTTGTCTGTTAATCCCAATAGGCACCAGCCYACATCTCTAAGACTTCACATGATTTGTCCCAGCACTGCTAAAACTGTCAATTCTGTGCAGGAAGGAAATTCAGTAAYAAAATTAATCTGGTTCATTCTAAGATGCTTGATGCCACTTACTGTATCGAGTCAGCACTCTGAAAAAACATTCAACAGCTTTTGGCTTCTCCTGATTGATTCTAATTTTTCTCTATGTTGTCACATCATATTTTTGACCAAACACGAATGACACCTAGCAGAGTATGTCTCCTAAAAAGCATTAATTTGGCTGTGATGTTTCAGATGCCTGCTGACACCTGGTGCAACACTTCAGCAATGGGTTTTGACTGACTATGAACAGAACATAAGTCACCTCACTCTAAAGTGAGCAAAAGCAGGTAATTTCTTCAGCTATTTTATAATTATCATCAAGTAGACCAGTAACACTGTTTTTTATTTCAGTTATATTAGAAGTGATTTATTGAGTCAGAAAATGAGGCAGAAYTGAATATAATTCAGAGCAAAATACATTAAAAATCCCATGTAGTTTTAGACTAAAAAGAATTTGTGTGTTCCAGAGAACAAAAAAAAAACAAAACCAAAAAAACCCTTAAGTATAAAAGCAATATCATCATGCCATTGATTTCAAAGAGATTTTTAAATTTCCTTTGAGAGGGAGAATATATTCCCACATGAATATACATTACAAGTGCTAATCAGGTATTCTCTTGAGCTGTAACATTTTATTCACACAATATATAAATGCAAGAGGTGCATCTTCTAAGATTGTTCAAGAAATATTTTTCTGTCTTTACCTATACACAGCATTTTGAAGAACAGTCTCCTGACCCTTTCAATCATTTCTACCAAAATATCCATGCCTACATAGTCCCAATTGCCATCAAATAACACTTTGTACACCAGGAACTGAACTGGGGTCACCATCTTATTTTGCAGAAAACAGATTCATCCCTGTAAATCTGAACAGAAAACTGAATATATAAGCCCGTTTTGTGTTCCAAATGCACAGTTCTATCAATTTCTGAATGAATACATGAATCTGATASTAGACCTCTGTGCAAAGGTGCCTATCAGTGTTTTCGTTACTACTGGTTTTGTAGCTGTATACATATCCAGGTGTGTACATGAACAGGGACTTAAAGGTACAGATGAACGATGTAGAAAATCATAAATGGTAGGGACACAACTCATTCAGCCCTAGGAGCTCAAGCTAAGATGTATGTCAA